TTCCACCCCCTTCTCCCCCACCCCCTACAACCCATAAAGAAACAAGAAGAACAACAACAACAACAACAAAACAAAAACAAGAAAAAACCCATCTTCATCTTCCCCGACCCCCCGCTTCCCTGTAACCCACCCCTTTCTTCCCCCTCCCGTCTTCCCCTTCCCTCCTCGTCCCCACCTACCCACCATCACAACCACCCTTGCACCCACCCTCCGTACCCATCCTTGCACCCACCGTCTTCCCTTCTCTACACACCCATTCCCCCCATTTTCTCCGTGCCCAATTTCTCCACCCGCGGAATCGACGAAATACGGGATCTGGTTTGCAGGAAAAGGGGGATCGGGAAAGATGAAGATGGTTTTTTTTTTTTTTTTGGGTTGCAGTTAGTGGGTGTGAGGGTGGGTGCAGAAGAGGAGGGAAAGGGAAGACGGGAAGAGGAAGAAATGGGTGGGTTGTAGGGAAGAGGGGTTCAGGGAAAATGAAGATGGGTTTTTTTTTTCTTTTTCTTCTTCTTCTTCTTCTTCTTTCTTTCTAGGTTGTAGGGAAGGGGGTCGGGGAAGATAAAGATGGGTTTTTTTTTTTTTTTTTTCTCTTCTTCTTCTTCTTCTTCTTTTTCTTTCTTTCTAGGTTGCAGGGAAGAGGGGGTCAAGGAAAATGAATATGGGCTTTTTTTTTTTTTTTTTTTTTTTAATTATTCTTCTTCTTCTTCTTCTTTCTTTCTTTCTTTCTTTCTTTCTTTCTGGGTTACAGGGGATGGGAAGGGGGGAGACAAACATGGGGTGGGTTATTTATTTTTTTCTTCTTCTTCTTCTTCCTTCTTTCTGGGTTGCAAGGGGTGGGGGTTGGAGGGGGGGGAGGAATAAATATGACAAGACGAATTCAACCTTTGAATCTGCTTCCACTGTCGTGGGGTAAAACTATCTTTGTTGAGTGTTTGTGGGGAGGGGGGAGACGAACATGGGGTGGGTTTTTTTTTTTCTTTTTCTTCTTCTTCTTTCTTTCTTTCTGGGTTGCAAGGGGTGGGGGGAGAAGGGGATTGGGCCCGCGGGGAGGGCGGGGAAGACGAACATTAGGTGGGTTTTTTTTTTTTTTTTTCTCTTCTTCTTCTTCTTCTTTCTTTCTAGGTTGCAGGGGGTGAGGGAAGAAGGGGGTTAAGCGGGGGGCGAGGGATAGGAGGAAGACGAACATGGGGTGGGTTTTTAACTTTTTAAAGACGAGGTATGAAACTGTTAATGACCCAATAGTTGAGATAGTTCTGTGTAATTTACCCTTTTTAAATTTGTGGACCAAATTCAAATTAGTGGGATTGTTTATTCACATTCTTTTCCCATGAAGAATGTTTTATAAATCTCTTGGACTCCCAAATTTGGAGTATCCTACATTCACACAATCTCATTTACAGAGTTTAGCTCATTCAAAATCCTCATTTCACATACTAACCTCACAACCTAAAACCATAAACAGTATTAAAATTCAAATCATCTTTGATGTTTAGTGCACCCAGTTTTGAAGTCAATTTATTCCTAAAACCAATATTCTACAACAATCATACATAGATCAAATATTAGATGCAACTGGTTTGACTCTAAGGTCATCTCCAACCGAAGGGTCCAAAGGGCTAAAAATAGCCCGAAAACCATCTCCAACCGAGGGTCAGGCCATAGGGGTCGTGGGCCCCACGGGACAAAAAAAGACCAAAGGGCCAAAGAGCCAACCGGCTAGCCCAACCCAGCTAGCCAACTAGCCAGCCTCGAGCCAAGCCACAATTTGAATGCAACAACTAGTTGCTGACGTCAACGAGTCGTTATATTTGAATTTTTTTTTTTTTACAATTTTTTTTTTAATTTTAAAATTCTATTTTTTTTCCAATAACTTCCTATGCCATTAAACAACATTAAATTAAATTAGGTAACATGAAACAACATTAAACAATATTAAACAACATTAAATAACATTAAACAACATAAAAATTATACAACATAAAAAAAAAACATTTAACAACATGAAACTTAAACAACATAAAACTTAAACGTCTACTCCATGCTTCTTTTGGTCAAAGATGTGCAACGAGATCCTATTGTAAGTACTTGCTTGTGGCATGGGAGCATATCATCCTATAACGCCTCATGTACTCATTTAAAAAAATATTACCAGTTCTTGGATTCAAAGGTAAATTAGGCCTATCATATATTTTTGCACTAGCCCTTCTTAACCTATTTGGATCCTCTTGGTCGTCATTAGACTCTCCATCAATATATCAATCTCGCTCATCCTCCATAATCATGTTGTGTAATATGATGCAAGACATCATGATGGAGTCCAAATTTTCTCGACTCCACCCTATTGTCGGTTCGTTGATGATATTTCACCATGCTTGCAGAATATCGAAAGCTCTCTCAACATCTTTCCGATATGCCTCTTGTTGTAAGGTAAACCACTTTTCAGCATCATTCGTAGGGTTTGGAATTGCTTGGACAAGTGTCACCGACTTTGGGTAGATGTCATCTGCCAAGTAATACCCCATATTGTACTAACACTCGTAGATGTAGTAGTCAGGTTGAGGTGATTTACCTTTCATCAGGTTATTGAAAAATGGTGAACACCCAAGAATTGTAATGTCATTTTGGGATCCAGGGACTCCAAAGAAAGCATGCCAGATCCATGTGTTATATGAGGCAACCGCCTCTAACACAACAATTGGCTTTCTCAACCTTCCACCAAAGCCTCCTTGTCATCTGATGGGACAATTCTTCCAATTCTAATGCATGTAGTCTAATGACCCTATCATATCCGAAAACCCACGATCTTTAGCTTTGCAAATGAGCCGGTCTAGATCTTCTTAATTTGGCTTGTGGAGGTGCTCCTTTTTGTAAAGCTGAACAATCGTGTTACAGAATTCAAAAAGAGTATCAAGGCATGTAGACTTAGACATACCATATGTTTCATCCATCGAATCAGCTGGGGAGCCATAGGCCATCATTCGTAGTGCAACAGTAACCTTCTGATGAGGTGAGAAACCAAGGCGACCTACTCTGTCCAGCTTTTGTTGAAAGGATAGATTGACCTGCTAGACATCATGAAGTAAACGCTCGAATACATAACTCCTAATCCAGAAGCGACATCTGAAATCATCTTCTGTGTACACCGAGTTGGGGTTGAAGTAGTTGTTCATCAGATTGGCATGCGTCATCACTCTGTTTCGTGGTTTGTAAAAGTGACCAGCAACAGAGCCACCCCATTGAGGTTGTTCTTCAGTTGAATGACACACCATCGTTGTAGCCATGGTTGCCACATATTGTGTGTTGCGCCATGCTTCATCTTCTTCATCATACTCCTCATCTTCTCATCTCATATGCGCCCATTGTTCCTCCAATTTGGAATTGGATAAGATCCAAAGTTGGAATTCATTGCAAACTTGAATTGAAAGATATTGAATTCAAAGGTGTGTGAATTATAGCCCATAATCCACCCTATATATAGGCCAAAAAAATTCAAATCCAACAACTAGCTAACATCAAAGTGGTGCCAACTAGCAATGACTAGCTGACGTCAACTACCGTTGGATTTGAATTTTTTTTTTTTGGCCAAATTTTTTTAAAATTTTTTTTTTAAAAATTCTCATTTTTTCATATAAATTAAAGTTGTTGTAGTTTTTAAATTTAATTTGTAGTTTTTAAATATAAGTTGTAGTTTTTAAAATTTAAGTTGTTCTAGTTTTCAAATTTAAATTGTTGTAGTTTTTAAATTAAAATAATAAATTATGTATGGCTTTATGGCTCTTTGGCCCTCGATTGGAAATGGTTTTTTTTTTTCACAGGGCTATATTTGGCCCTACAGCCCTTTGACTCTCAGTTGGAGATGGTAAGAAATATGGTCATGCATTGTTCATTAAAATATTAATTTTCTGAATGACCAGAGGGCTAAAACGAGCTCTCTGATCCTCATTCGGTTGGAGATAGCTTAACAAAATAGAAACTGGAATACGAAGTCCCGCCACAAAACTTTAGAATAGAAACTTACAATGCTTTTGATAAAAAGAATTAAAAATTATACACTAGGATGCAGAGTCTGAAACCAAATAAATGGGTTGATCTGTTCTGAAATATTCAAAACTTGAGAATGGGGATGGTTGTACACGTAATGGCACAAGTGTAATTTTGTCGCTCAATTAAAAGATTTGAAAACAATGGACTTGCCTCATTAACCTAAGCTAACAAATAAATAAACCTTATTGACGAGTCCATAATCAAAATTAACCATTAACTATATCCTAATTATTAAAGTTAAAATTGAGTTTAACCATATGGATAGTTTTGAAACCATATTACCATCAAATTCAATACTCTTGTTAGGCTTGTGTTTAAGGGGTTTTCTAAATCCATCAAGGTACAGTTTAGGATTAAATAATGCTAGGAAGACTAGAATTTTAAATCAAATGATGTGTCATCAATGCGAAATAAGTACGTTAATCGACATTTAATAATCATTCAATCATTAACAAACACATCATTTTGTTTACAAAATTTAGTTTAAAATTTTGGTCTCCCTATATTACTCTTTGGATAATGTTAGAGAGATCAAATTTGCAAACTAAATGATATAGAATTTTAAATCAAATGATGTGTCATTAATATGAAATAAGCACATTAATCGACACTTAATAATTATTCAATCATAAACAAACACATCATTTGGTTTACAAAATTTAGTTTAAAATTTTGGTCTTCGTATATTACTCTTTGGATAATGCTATATTACTCGATAATGGTAGAGAAACCAAATTTGCAAACTAAATGATATGTTACCAATAAGAAATAAAAACGTTAATCAATACTTAAATAACATTTCAAAAAAAAATAATTCAATTATCAATTAGTAGATCATTTGACCAAATAGAAATCCAAATTGGGCTTTCCTTGGACTAACCCTATTTACCGACTGAGAAAAACCCAACCCATTTTAATCATTACTCACTTGCCAAATGGCGCGCTGCACATTCTTCTAGTTGGGTGTTTCCCACCATTTGGCGCGAAAATCAGTTCAGTGCTGAAATAGATTCTAGGGTTTCAATCAGATTGAAAATTAAGAATCATTTCAAAGTGCTTTCCTTCGATTACGAATGGCTTCACCACCACCGTCAAAACGCAGGCGTAAGAACCAGAGCAAAGACGAAGCAGATGACCCGTCAGCGGCACCTTCATCCACACCAGAGAAATTATCCCCTGTGGTGGTCTTTGCTCATGGTGCTGGTGCTTCTTCTTCTTCCGACTGGATGATCAGGTCCCTTTTATTTCTTTTCTTCTTTTGGAAACATTAGAAAAATATTTCGTTGAGTAAAGCTTGAAGCTTTTAGCTTAGCTTTGTGGGTTTTTGTTTAGGTGGAAGGATATGTTGGGAAAAGCACTAAACGCTGTAGAAGTTGTTACCTTCGATTACCCATGTAAGTATATGTGAATTTTGATAAATTTTCAGTTCTTTTTGGTATATAGTGATCTGGATTATTCATGGAATTGGGTTATCTCTATTGTATTTGTATAATCTAGAAGTTGTGTTCTTGGCAGATATTTCTGGTGGGAAAAAGAGGGCTCCTCCAAAGGCTGAAAAGTTGGTCGGTTTTCATGCCGATGTTGTCAAAAAGGCGGTTGCTAAGTACCCAGGTCATCCGTTGATTTTAGCCGGGAAATCTATGGGTTCAAGGTTATAATTCTCTTCCTTTGTGGTGACGTTTATTTGCTCTAGCCTAAAAATTTAACTACTAGAAGGTAGTGTCTGTTAAAGTCAAGTAATGCTGGAGAACCGCTTTGGAAGTTAAAATGTTGGATTGACGATATGAATTTTCAATGCATCTTCTACGGGCAGCAGTGCTCAACTCTAGAAAATTAGAAATGTAGACAATTTATGAAGCTCTGCTTTGTTTCTGTTGTATAAGTTTGAAGTCATATTAAGTCCTTTACTAAGGTAATGATATTAGGGGTGTATTGCTTACATATGAATTTTTTGGGATTAGGACTTGTTTCCTCTGTAGAGGAACTTGTGTACAAATAAACCCATAATTTTACATCCATATACTATTGTTGTTACATGCATTGGATCCCTTAAGTAATGAGCATGTCAATAAGATAGAGAAGTAATGAGTGCATGCCGTATTTGGTATTCCTTTTCTACAACAAATTCTGCCTTGTTTTTTATGAATTTGGATTTCATTTGTATGTAGAGTCAGCTGCATGGTAGCTTGCAAGGAAGATATACATGCCTCAACAATAATTTGCTTAGGATACCCACTAAAGGTTTGCTGTTCTGATGTTATCCCTGCATCTCATTTCTGCCAAGTGATTGTCTCTTTTTCTTATATGTTTTTCCTTCTTCCTTTCTGTTTATTGGCATAAAATCACTGGGCAGTAAATCTTCTATAACACATATGGATGTTGCAACTAACTGAGATTAGATCATATGATATTTTGAAGAAGAAAATCTGCATTCATTGGACCCTTCAAAGTTGATGTTTTAACCTAATGGACTTCTACCCAACTTTGTAAATGTGCGAACTGTGTGCCTGATATGGGTGCCTTAATTTCAGGGCATGAATGGAGCAGTGCGAGATGAAACGATATTGGAACTTTCTATTCCCATAATGTTTGTACAGGTATTTGAAAAGTTTACTTTTTTCTTTCATTGTCTGTGATCATACAAATTTCGAACTGCTGCACCGTATACGTTCAAAATTTCAAATTAGCATTATATGTTTTTCACTTTATGTTATTCCTTTATAAAGTTGTTATACAATTAATCATTATGTTATCGCTTTATGAAGTTGTTATTAGGTCTTTTGTGTCACTTTATTCAGTTGTCTTTTGTCTCTTTTTATGACCAGATTGAGAACTTCCTTTTCTTTCTATATATTATCACTTTATAAATTTGTTATTACCATTATATATATGCTGCTTTCTTATGTTTTGTATCTCATACATTTTCGGGTTTGTATGTTACTATTATGCTTTATGAAGGGTAGTAAAGATGGGCTTTGTCCATTGGAAAAGCTAGAAACTACTCGCAAGAAGATGAAATGCCTTAATGATTTGCATGTCATTGATGGTGGCGACCACTCCTTCAAGATTGGAAAGAAGCATATGCAAAGCACTGGGTTATCCCAAGACAAAGCTGAAGATCTTGCTTTTCAGGCCATTGCAGCTTTTTGGTTGAGGTCTCTTGAAGGAAGGTGACACTTTATATTGCATAGAAAAGTTTCCATGTAATATCAAGGGTTGTATCATGTTGTCCATACACTGTTATCATGCTGTTTTTGTGCCATCAATTCCTTGCTTCCTCTTGTGATGTAAACTTCTCATGCTCTTTTTGTACTGTCAATCCGTAACTTTATTTAGAGGTGTGTTTTGATAGACGTTGACACACTTAAAACATTACTATGGTATTGCTAGCATATGGTGGAGTACTTATTTTTATTGTATCGTACTATTGGTTTGCATGTCTATATTTTGCTGAAAACTTATTAATGCGCTGCTTCTGCACCATCTTTGATTTATGGTTCTCGATGTATACTGTGTATAAAGATTCTCTCTCACAGATGCATCGTTTACGTGAGGTTTTGACGGTTTACACTATAACTCATTTCATTTACCCCAATATCTATTGATTGAAGTAAATTATTGTGTATATAGATTAGTTGGTGAACAATTGCACCAATGTGTTGTGGAGGACTTATTCATTAAACACACTATTACACGCAAACCATTTATTTCTTATATAGGATACAGTACCACACTTGTGAAGCATGTCATGCAGTCTTCATCTTATTTATGTATTTAATACATTGCGAGGCAGTTTCTCTAGTTTCTTCTCCATAAGTGTTATTGCCTCTGCAAAAGAATTGGCCAAGATAGTTAGAAACTTAGATTAGAGCATATAACATTGAATTTTCTGGGCGTTATAACTTCTTTTTTCATCATGAAACGATATGAATTGTTTGCGTACAGAGTCATTATAAATGGTGGCGTATATATAACATTTAACCTTATTTTGCATGCATCTTCAGTCATTGTCACAGTCGCTGCTGCTGTCACTACCACTTCGGTAGCCATTCTTGCATTTTGTCTTGCATACATTCGCCTTCTTCTTATGCTTTTCAGCCCTTCTATGGCAAGCCATACCATGAGATGCTTGGTGGTGACTGCCACTGTGAGCGTGGCCACTGTGATTGCCATGGGTTTGAGCCAGAGAGCAAGGACTCTGGCCGTTGGCTAGGCCGTGGTCAAATTGTTGGCCTTGGCCGTATGCTTGACCATACGATTGACCAGGTCTGGCCGGACTGGTATCAAGGTAGTATGACTGCTGCGTTTGGCTATAGCACTGAGCCTGTGGCTTAGGCACGGTGTGGTTTGGATTGTATGCATGGGTTTGGGCATACTAATGAGTCTGGCCACCGTATTGCTGACCATGGTGACTCTCTTTGTGCCCAAAACCACAAGAGTTTTCGGAGCACTTTTGCTGGCACAATTCATTAGCAGGTATGTAGCACTGCATTGAAGCCATGGCAAGTGAGATAAAAGGAGGTTTCTTACTTCTTGCTAGCTTTGTGGATTGGATGGTGCTTCAAACCATTGTGATCTTGCTCTTTATATAGCCAACAACCAGGAGGTTTTCGGCTTTGTCTATTGGTAGATAGGATTCCTTTACTTTTTCTCATATCCTTTATCACCCTTTGAATCTGCTGCTTTTTGAAATAAGGGCTGGAATTAGGTCAGGAATGCTTTTTTGCTCCCTTTCCCTTCGCAAGAATTTGTCCTCCACTTACTGAATACGATATGGGGGGCATCAAACCACTACAGACAATTTACTCCAGTTGTGAGTGTAAACACTGGCCATCTTGATGTCTTGTGAGTCTCACATCCGTTCATGATACAGACAATTTACTCCAGTTGTGAGTGTAAACACTGGCCATCTCGATGTCTTGTGAGTCTTACATCCATTCATGATGAGAACTGTCAACGCATAACATACCATATCTCTAACTCATAATAAGGATGCTTAAATATGAAAATTTTGGGGAATTAAATTTACGTCACGACAAAATATGAAGAACTTGGATTTATAACTCTCCATTAATTTGCCCATATTGCTGCCTCTTTTCTTTTTCTTTTTTTTTTTTTTTTCTTTTTTTTTTTTTTTTTTTTCTTTTCTTGCTACTATGACAGATGTTATTGTTGATGCATGTCAATATTTACTTCCCATCATTATTCTATCAACTTTTCTTTGGCTTTTAACTTATATTTTAAAAAATTTCTTGCTTACTCATTACCTCATATTGGGGTTCCTGAATTATGCAATGTTTTTAATTGTCTCTATTTCATTTAGGGTCATTCAATTTTTAGGCAAATTACTTTAATTTCTCATGGTCTGAGTTCAAATTACCTATATATGTGAGAGGCTCTCCTACATATAAAATTCTGACTCCGCCACTGAATTTGCCCTTGGCATATTGGAGAGAATTGATGCATGAACAAAAGAAGAAGAAAACGGAGTTTGGAATCAGATTGACTACCAATCCTTTTGTTGATGGATCACAATGGGAATGTAACGCGTAACTAGGGATGGGCAAAATACCCACGGTTATGGGTAACTGCGGTTACCCGCCCATTTAAACTTCACGGTTATGGTTATGGGTAACCGTTTAGATAAATAAACGGTTATGGGTATAACTATTTACCCGTGAAATTTAAATGGATGGTTATGGGTATTAACCGTGATTATAAACGGGTAACCGTTTACCCATTTATTTTATATATGTAAAATTAACACAAACCATGTTCTCTATCGGACAAAACTTAGATCAATGTTATTGACTATAGTGCATGGTTTATATAACTAATTATAATATAATGTAGCTCATTATCTCTACTAATTAAAACACTTAATGTCAACCAAAATCCTATGAAATTACCAATTTAACGCTCTAATTAAAACAGAACATGAATAAAAAATATGGGGTAGAAATGTAATTTCACACAATCAAATTTTGCTGTTTTTTTTTTTTCAAAGCCTCACATATAATCCTAACATATCTCTAATGAAAAATAAATAAATAAAAAAAAATAAAAAACTTCCCGCTCCCACATTCTCTATTACTCTCTTCCACTCTCCTTCTATTTCAAAAACAAAAATAAAAAAATTTACCACACACTTTGTGTGTGCCCATATGCTAGTATATAGTATGTTAATACTTTACATTATGGGTTAAATAACCCAAGAATACTGTCTTCTAAACAGTTTTCGTAACCCAAGAATACTTAGCAAATATTATATTACGTTCATTGGTAACAGTTAAAAATATCGTCCGTAAACTATTATTTCAATTATTAGAATGATATAAGGTCTTGAAAAATTAAAATACGGAAATGTATGATAAATGTATCTATAACGGTGTTTAATTGTCAAAAAAAATGAAAATTATGACAATTGTTTTTTTTTATAAATTTTAAAATTGTTAAAAAAAAACATGTATACGGGTGAAAAAGAGGTAATGGTAAAAAAAAAAATGATAAACGGGTTAAAAAGGGTAAATGAGTAAACGGGTATTAAACTGTTACGGTTAAATGAGTATGCGGTTATGGGTATGGTTAACCGTTTATAAACGATTATGGGTATGAGTATAACCGTTTAGACAATTACCAAACAGGTAAACGGTTATGCGGGTATGAATATAAACGATTATGGGTAAATAACCGCGGTTATATACCCGCCATAACTGTTGCCCATCCTCACGCGTACCAATGGTCCCGCACTCTCTTGTCAATCCAGACAGGCAGCAACCAGATGAAGATTGAAGTCCTTCAATAATTCAATATAAAATCGTATATGACTAGTTGGTGTATAAAGGCATCTCATGTTCGACTTATTTGGATACAAGAATGATATATGTTTATAATGAGTTTGATATTAATGTCTTGTGTATGCAACAAAGGAGATCTTTTATTTTTTTATACTCATTTATTTTTTTGTTAATGTTATTAGTACTCTAGAAAAAGGCATCTCACACTTCTTCTGTATGCAAACTCTCTCTTATAAAAGTATAAGAAGCGCGCAATGATTTTATGTGCGTACCAATAACAACTCCTTCATTCCTTTCTTTTTTCTTTTTTTTTGTCATTTTTTTTTTAGATGATTGTATATGAAAGAGATTTGAGAGGCTTGGTTCAATTTTTTTTGTTTAGAGATATTTTCACTTCTCGATGATATATCTTAGGTTTGAATTTCAAAAATAACAAGTTCACAACCAATTTATTTCTCCACCATCTTAATACAAATATATTGATGTATCAAAAAGAAAGGCCAAAGGAACACGTCTTGAATTCAACATCAGAAAAATTAAGGGCTAAATATATATTACCTCTATCAAATTTGACTTCAAAATTACAGCAGAAGCAAAACATGCCACACAGGTGAAGCAAATGTATACACTACATTGAGTATTTCACTTATTTTTTTTTTACATATTTTAACACTGAAAAACAGATATTACTAAATTAAGAGTTAGTTGATAATTCCCTTTCCTCCTAAGAGAATTTTAAGGACCTAATTTTTTATTAAGCTTGTCTCATCATGGACATAATTCGTCGGGAAACATTTTGGTCGGATGAGTATTAGTTAACTAGTTTTGACCCAACTCATTATCATTATGGATGGTCTAGTCTATGTTTAACCATCTAAATGCTTAGATCAACGAATAAATACTTACCTACAACTGAATTATAAAATAAATGTAACATTTTGAATAAATATTTCATCACTCCAGAGCATGTAAGTTTCTCTCATGATATACATTGTTATTGTTTTTTTCTTCACTTGGCTTGACCCTGATTAGTGCGGAAAGGAATTAATATTAAGAGTTGTTATTGTCATAGTTCTCCATTTTTTAAGTCCAATCTCAAACTTGGTTATCAAGTTGAGATTATGTTGGGGGTATTAAGTGATGTGTCACTATCTAATGCGTTGGTTTTATATGGCAAAGATTAATAAATGGCATCATCTGGTGTAATAAGCTATTCTAGTTTCGTTAAGAGTTGTTAATAGTTTGTTACATGTTGTTAAGTGCGATATAACTAGCAGAAGGAACAACTGTTGTATAAATTAATCATCAATAATCATAATACAAAGATCTTTTATTTTCTTCTTAAGTTTCTCTCTCTTATTTCTCTTTCTAGTTCTTCATCGTTCCTTAATTATTCGAAATGTAGTTAATATTAATACCAATCAACGGCTGCCATATACACCCTAACGGTAACTTTTAATTGGTGCAACCATGTCATTTTTACGTAATTAATGGCGAAAATTTACCACATGCCATGCATACATAGTTGTAAGGATATAAAAACACATGGTGTATCACCTGTGTTCCGGTTACGATGAAATATTTCTCCTCATGTTGCTTTTCATTGAGCAACATCAAATTCAGTACTGTTTGCATTGTATAAAATATGGTCTCTTGATGGGTAGGGCTATTCACACATGCATTTCTTCTTTTCACACATGCATTTCTTCTTCTCACACACCCTCTCAATTTTTGACCATCAAATCGAATAAATTAAAGAAGATTAATGACAAAAAATTAATATGAATGTGTAGAAGATAAAAATGGGTGTGTGGCTTTGTTAATTATAGAGTGAAGCAAATGCACCAAACTCACGACGTAACTTTATTTTGAAAGAGGGACATTTATTTCACACAGGACACAAGCCAAGATATCAAGAGGCCATTTATTTTACATTAACTTGGTACTTATTTATCATAACTTAAAGGCCTCTTTCATTCTGCTGATCATGGTGATCGATGGGAATCGATGATCTCCCACAACTGCTCAAATTAGTTCTGCAAAATGGTCACACACAAATATTATAAGTAATATGCATCAAGAACATCAACTCTAATTAATTGACGAAAATTAACAGTATGACAAGAGAACTTTCCCTTAGTGTAAGGGTTAGTGTAATTCTAATCACTTGCCTTCTTTCTGCAGCTGCCTTCCTTGTCGCTCTCGCTGTCGCTGCTGCTGCTGCTATGGCCGGAAATACCATCCTTGATCTTCTGAAGAAGATTTCTGCCTCCTCCTGTCTTCTTGTTTCTGTGCTCACCCTTCTTCTTGGTTCTTCCATAGCACGCTGTGCTGTTAGTTGCATGGTGCCCCTGACCGTTAGTTGCGGTGGCTGAGCACTGAGTGTGGCTGCTGCTGTGAGAGCCATGGTGACCTTTCAGAAAGCCAGACACCTTTTGCCCTAATGAGCTCTCACTGGCAGGCTTGTTTTGGCAAGTTTTGGGGCATGCCTCATCAGTGGCAGGCTTGTGGCATTGCATTGAGGCCATTGTACGTAATTACCGGGGAAAGAAAAAGGCTAGGGTTTCTTGATTTCTAGATAGTATTTTCGAGATCTGTTGGTTCTGGACAGCTATAGGGTTAGGTCTCTTATATAGGCAATGGAGTGTTTAGTGGGATTCCTTCTTTCCTTTGAGTTATATATCACCTATGGAATCTGCTTTTGCATTATGGGCTGCACAATTCAAAATGCCCATTCTTTATTCCTTGAGTTAGAAGAAACAAATCAATGCATGTCATGGCTTTTCTTATCACGTCAAGCCACCGAATCAATTCCAAATTTTAATTTAATCGTTAATGTCTGCTATGCGTGTAACTTTCGGAAAGGATCCTCCCGGATCTCTTCTACCTAATCCTTCTCATCAAACAATCTAGACCTTTGAAATTTGATTCAACGGCTCATATTAAATATACAAAAAATGGTTTAAAGGCCTATATATATATATATAGAGAGAGAGAGAGAGAGAGAGAATGGTATAGAAGTACCAGTTGGTATTTTACAAAATTACTTATCATGTATTAATTAAGCAAAAATTCAACTATTAATAGTATCTCACAGATGCAAGTGGGCATTTACCACAGTATTGGAAATGTGTTCAGCCCTTGCATGACGGCTTAGGTTCAAACCCCGTAGGTGGCTAATTTAATATCTAATCTAACAAAATTTATCATTTGACCAAAAAAAAAAAAGTATCACTAAGATCGTCTAATAATTTTTATATAGTACTATTAAGTTATTAATTACAATGAAGGAATTGAGAATGAATGCGACGAATGTCTCATAGAGTTACAAATGTAAGATAGAGAGAAAATGTGTTGGTGTCAAAATTTGGACAGAATCTGGATTGCGTTCAACACGTAGGTGCCCTAAGTGTTGTTTTCAATCTCAGTGCCACGAAATGGCTAGTGCCACGAAATGGCTTGAGAGATAGAGACAATAGGCGTGTGACTATGGGAGGTTTCCAACATATAGTGTTTGTGTTTGAGTGTGTGTGAAAGTTGCACGTTAGTCTGACTTCTTAACCAAATGATTGTGCACTGAGTTGGAGTTAGTTTGGTTTAGTTCTTTTATATGTTTCTCGAGCAGACTTAAAATTCAATGTAACTTCATATATGTTTCCCAAAATTTAAATGAAAGTGAAATAAAAACTAAAAAGAGAAACATAATGTAATTATTTCATGATGTAGTCAAGATTACAAACTTTCAGAAAAGTAAAATCTAGGTTGATGGGCCGAGTTACATGACTTGAAATGTAAATTGACTAGAAATTAATGTAAAGAAAGCAGTAAAACTCTGGTAAGATTTAGGCCATGAAGGACATGAAAATGCTAGAGAAGTCCACCAAGATCACTGGTCTTAGATTGGACTTAGTTTAAAACATATGCATCAGAGATGAAAGCAAGGTGGTTGAAATTGCACATCAACCGAATCATACCACAAGGTGGCAGAGCTGTAATAGCTTAAGATCTATAGATCACATGCAATGTTTGCTTCGAAAGAAGGCTTTGAGATTGTAGGTGAAGAGCTAAAAAAAGTTTTTATTGAAGAGAAATTGGATTTGTGCTGAAAAAGCAAATCGGTTGATTGAAGAATCACTCAAGGTTTTTGTCTAATTGTAGAGATAGAATTTGACGAAGGTCTTGAGCTTGAAGGCATCTGACTTTATAAGGCAGTGAATGTAATTTTTGGTAGGTGGCATTTAGTTGTGTCTTGAAGCGGTTTGCATGACCACGGTAGTGACACCAACAAATCAAATGATGTGTGCGTAGGCATGGGTGATATATTCCAAACTTTGATCGCCTATGTGGCAGCCGCGTCTCGGAGAGGAACCTATCGATTCAGAGCCCTCAGACAGGTTAGAGTGAAATGAGATGAATATCCGAGCCCCAATTTTAGCTTCAAAGTTTATGGGTCGGAGTCATGCAACTTTTGCATAAATAAAAATGAATAAGCCTTATAGAAGGCTTATTTTTATTTATGCCTGAAACAAAGTGAAAAAAAAAAAAAAAGAAATCACACTTATATCTCAAATCTTATCAACTGACATGCGACAATATAACAACATTTACTGAGCTATAACTACTACAATGTGGACTTCATTTTTTGGACTTCATTTTTTGACATATGTACATTAATAATTAAGTACATGCAATATTCTACACTTAGAACATAATATATGTTTAGAATTGTATTTATCTCGTTACTACCATATGTACATGGGATCATTCTACATGCAACGCATCTTGGTCCCATCGAACCATATAGTACTAGTGCATTCTGGAAAAGGCTATCCCTTCAGTCTCATGGAACATTCTTTTTCTTTCTTTTCTTTAAAAATTCGATCAATTGGTAGGTGGAATTTCATGCAGTGACAAATGATAACAGATTGAAAAAAGAAAAGAGAGACAATCAATACAAATTTCCATTTCATTTTCTTACAAGCACTAAGTGAACTCTCATAACATCTTTTACACCAGGTTTGAAATTTTTTTCGTTTTGCAGTTTAATTAAAGAGATACTTTGGATGCGATCTCTAATCTTTAACATTTTTTTATTAAAACCTTAATGGTTTTCAAAGTTTGATCAAGGTCACTTGACTTTGTACACCTCATTATATTACTATTAATATTTTTATTCTTATAGTTGTGGCATTAATTGTTTGATATTTTATGAAGTCTCTCATTATAGAAATGGTTGCAATAAAAAAATTCAAACATTTTGATTGAATAAATGGATAAAAACTATGTAACAATAAGAAATAATAAATGGCAAAAGAATGTATCCATAGTGTTAAAAAAATTGGTACATTTTGCAAAAAAAAAAAAAGATACATTTCACATATAACAAAGTGGTACATTAATAAAGAAGAATGGGTACATTATAAATAAATTAGGGTACAAATAAAAAATTAAAAAAATATGAATACAAATGAATTTTTTAAAAATATGGGCACTAAAAGAAATTAATATATGGGTACAAATTAAAACTAAAAAGAAAATACTACAAATTTCAAAAAAATGTTGCAAATTAAAAGTGGGTACAAACTAAAAATATAAATATATGATACAAAGTTTAGCCATAAAACATAAATATACCATATGTAATTTTTCTATCATTGACTAAATATACAATATTACGTGATAGTAAACACATGGGTTATACAAATAAAACTTTAAAAAAATATGGGCACAAAAAGAAACTAATATATAGGTACAAATTAAAAATGAAACAAATTTAAAAAGGTTTGCAAATTAAAAATAGGTACAAACTAAAAATAAAAATATATGATAAAAAATTTAGCCATAAATATAGATATACTAATTGTAACATTTTTAACACTAAAGGAATATATTTTAAAATAAAAATATTTTATTATTCAAATAATTAATGATGTTATTAATACTTAAGGATCTTGATCAAAACTTGAAAATAAATAGAATTTTAATCAATATAGTAGTAAAATAAAGGATGTGAACCTAATTTCTCCATTAATGATGAAATGATAAAACTTGACTGTTTGATGTACTATGACTTCAACTTTTGACACTACTATATATATATGTATGTATGTATATTGTTGGACTTAATATCCCACAAAAGTGCAGGAAACCAGTTTTTCACAAGTATCCCGTTTATGTAACGATGTTGCACACCGCTTAACTGGGCTTGATATTTCAGTTGGTATTCAAATAATTTAGTTCGAGAATCCACCTAATACCATCCTGGACATCCTCCTTCAAAACATGTTTGTGTGATTGAGTTTGATCAATGATATCGTTTCTATTAAAAATAAATAAATCAACAGCACATATAAATCTAATCACTATTTGTTCAATGATATCGTATCAGGGTTCAATAATTTTAAATTTAAGGGGGAGTTTTTAGAAGCAAAAAGAAAAAAAAAAAAAAAAAAAAAAAAAAAAAGCAGATGATTAAAAAAGACCAAAAAAGAGAAGGTGCAAAAATGAATTAGTCCGCGCCTTTCTTTACGAAAAAAACTTGCATGCTTTTTCGACTGTTTTATCCATTTGTATAAATTTTTTTTGCCCAAAAATTTATTGTCAGCACAAATTCAACAACTATGAGCCAACAAAGCAAAAAATTCGTCTGGTAAAAGCTGCTTTGTCGACAAAATATATTTGTTGGCTCAAAATTCGTCGGAAGAGAGATTTTCTAGTAGTGAATATATTGCATACAATTAAGAAATGAAATATTAACACTCTAAAAATCTCATTATACACTCTTCGTTATTATATTTTTCTTTCTAATTATAGAAAATTTGGAATGGAAAATTAAATTTTTGGAGTACCAATAACAATGCCCTTAAAAATGTGTTTTAACAGCATGATTATTGCGCAAATCTACCAGTCGACTTCAAAATGCACTCTGTCATGAATAGTTAACTAATTTTGACAGAAGTTAATGAGAGAAAAATGTTGGCACCATACGAACTTTGCGGGAGAGAGAATATTTGAGGAAAATGTACGAGAAAAATCAAAACATAGGTAGCTGTCATTGGTCCAGGTGGAACGTATCCCATGTGGCCACCTGTGGTTGGGACTTGGGAATCAGTTCCTGGGAGGTTGGCCACTTGGGTTATGTATATATCGACTACGATGAGCAAGAGTATAGTTATGTGTTTAGTTGCAAATTAGGACTCTAATATTGAGTGGTCTCAATATTAAAGCTTCAAAATTAAATTAGACGAAAATAATATTAAAATATTAAACGATAAACTACCCAATTATTCATTCATAATCTTACAAACAACATTTACAATCTACAAAGACTAAATTGTTCACAATGAAGTTTTATACTCTGAAAATGTTTCATGGTAATTTCATTGTCAATATAAGAAAAAACAAATCGATAATGATATGGGTATCCAATATTGGAGTTCAACTGTCGCGAATAGGATTGGAACTATCCAAAATTGGCATTGAAATTGCTGGAATAAGACTGTCAGAACTAATTGATGATGATTTTCTCTGGTGCTGGCCGAGGGATCGGTTGGGTGTGGTTAAAGGAAAAAAGAATTGAATTGGAAATTACCCAATTGGAGAATGTGAATGCAAAATGAGATTGGATG